CCATCTGCCCGTCTGTGGAAATCACTCTAGCTTCCGAATGAAATGAAGTAGATTGATAAAATTTCACTCAAACGTATATTATGTCTGCAGAATTTTTGGTATTGAAAATGGGTCACGTAGGGCCACGTTTTGATATAGCCCCCATACAACGGTACCTCCTAATATTCGATACTATGTTGATTTTAGCGACATTATTCACCGGAATTGTTTCAAATTCGGTATTTGAAGTTCGTAATGGATACTGAGGCAGCCGGAGGCAGAAAATTGTCTGTGCAGGTCCACATTTTGGTATAGCCCCCATATGATAGTACTTCCCTATATTGATGATTTTAGCTACACTTTTTATCGATTTTTTTTCAAGTTTCGCATTTGAATATTGTAATGGCTTATGACAAAAGTTGCCTAAGCAGGTCCACATTTATACCCTATAATGACGGTTACATTTGGTAGTTTTAAGATTTTAACAGAATTTTTAACGGATTTTATTATTTTCAAAATTGCCGAATTCGTTCCAAATGGAGGAGGGTATTCGGAGGCCGGGACGAACTTACAGCTTTGTTTCTTGTTATTATTCAGGAAAAACGAAAATCATGAATGAAAAGTATGAAAATATTGAATTCGGTTCGTATGTATGAAAATATTGAATTCGGAGTTTGCCTAAGAATTTAGAAACGAAAAAATGTGCTTTTTTATTGGCTGTAGTATGAAAAGTAACTTTGACATATCTGTCTCCGTAGATTTTTAAAACAAACAGAAGGTATAACACATTTGCATTTGGATAATACTGTATATATAACAACGCAGTACACTTGTAAATAATATGTAAATAATAGTTAAATTCCCTAGTTTTAATTCTTAGTTTTAGTACCTAGTATTTTAACTAGTTGTTGCCCTTTTTGCTTGAATCTTTTTTTGGTCGTTGTTGTAGAGAGATATATGGAGTTAAGATAATACGATTTTCGTTCGCAACTATCCTGCAAGGGTTAATATAATTAATATTTTTTTATTTTTTATTTTAATAATTCATGCTGTATAGTCTTAAGATCTCAAATCAATAAATATGGCCCTGAGCCAAAAATGCAAGGAAACATGCTATAACTCAACTCATCAGACGGCATTTGGAACGTATACTTTATTTTTTACCCTATGTATACACATCATACGCACTAGATAATTGGATTTTCTTTGTGTATTCATTGGATGAATTAAAAACGTAAGTTGGAATGAGCCCACGAGATTGTGAAAACGTTTTTGGATTCAAGGTTAAATTTTGGTATGATAGCTATATGACGGTACAACCTGATTTTAAGTTTATCAGCGCCAAGAAAAAAATAAATAAAAACAAAAAGAAATAATCACAATTATAAAATTAGCATTGTTTGGTGTATTGCGCCGTTCGTGATTTATCCAATATCTACACATTGACTGTAGTACCCTAGAACCTTAAAGGAACTTATTTAGTAAATCGATGTTGCGGGAAATTCCAATTTTTTTCTGTTTGATTTTAATGCACATTTTTTGACACCATTATTCTTTGCTTCAGATTCTTTATATGAAAGTATGTTTTATATTAGATAGCCCTAAAAGTTACGAAAGATTTAGGGAATCTACAGATTTTATTGAGAGTACATCAATTCCCATAGTTACAAAATTACAAAAGTTACAAAATTTGTTAAATTCGCCCAAACCAAACTTTTAATACCCTCCACCAATTGGAAATATATACTTCTTTTAAAATATGTCGAAAAGTAACGGAATCAAATATTTCAACTTGTGTCATACCTGTAATTAGTAATTTCCGATACAAAATTTCCGAAAAAAAAACTGTTGTGAAATGTTGCAAGATCATCAAAATTTCAAACAACGGAAGGTGCCGCTTCATTAAGGCTATACGAAACCTGGGGCTATTTACATAATTTCTTACCGGAGGAGATAGCGTCCGTTGTGAAATTCGTCTAAGAAATATCAAATAGTACTAATAAATGTGTCAAAATCAATACAACTACCGAAAATTTTAGTTTGCCATTATATGAGGTCTATATAAAAGTATAAACTATATAGACAAATATCGTCAGAGATGGTAGTATATATGTAAACTCCAACTACAAAATGTTGAACATTTGGCTAAAATTAACAAGTACCGAAAATCGTGGAGTACCGTTATATGAAGGCTAAACGAAATCATGGATCAGCATAGACATTTTTCTATCGGAGAAGGTGGGCTTTATTGCGAGTTTCACATAGATTTTTGAGCAAATGCCGTTTAAAAACGTAGCTAAGCTACTGTTATATTGAGTCTCGAAGGCTACTGTTATATTGAGTCTCTACCACAATTTGGACCATTATGAATAGTTTTTTTTTTGCAAGAAATGCAATTGAAAAATATGACTAAAACCTCGAAACTAACTTAAATTGGTTGTCGTTGTCTTTCCGTTGGCTATATCGATATAAAATCGTATATTATATTGATTTTTCACACTGTGAGGTGAAAAATGTTTATTTGTAGGAGTTATACATGCAATATCTTGGATATGAGTATCAACATAACGGTCAGAAGTGACATTTTCGTGCATTTGTGATTTCACCGGGATCAAAATAAAAATAATAAAATTGACGTATTTTTTACATAGAAGTTGTGGGCTATTTTACCCGCTAAATATGTCCAGCACTGTACTCTAGCTCCATGCTGAATTCCGCGTCGATTGATGTATAATTGCGATCTGTAGAGCAACTGTTAAATCAGGAAATATTTCTGAGTTTGGCCCATTTCAACCCCTAAATATTGTGCAATCATCTCCAAAAACAATAGCTTTCTATTCTGACCCTTACCCCACCTACATTTTCAATTTTGTGAGAATCGGGTCATAATTGCGATCTGTAGAGTGATTACAAATTAACCTGGCCAGACGGACAGATGGACGGACGAACATACATAGCTAGATCTATTCAGCTCGGTGAGATAGGAAGATCCACATATAGTTTTATTTGTCGGAGACCAATATTTCAAGGTGTTACATAATTTTTGACCCAATCAAACTTATAATACCCCAATACATAGAGTTGTAGGGTATAAATATTACTAAAACCTCGAAAATATTTGAAATCGGCTTTTGTCGTTGTCTTTCCGTTGTCTACATCTTTATACAATCGTATAATATATGGATTTTTCACGCTGTGGGGTGAAGGAGTTATATATGGGAGGGTATACAAATGATGATATGTTTGTTGTACAACTGACGGAATTCAATAAAAAACCTATTTACAGTCGCAAAAGTAACTCAGTATACCATCAAACGGTATAATAAAATGGATCCTATATAGAGCTCAGGATTCCGCTAGTATTTAAAGGTGAATAGATCGATAGCAATATGGAAGTAATAAAAGGTGATTTCTCAGGAGCTATAGACAAAATTTTCAAAAAATCGTTTTTTGAATTGATAGCACTCTACATATAATTAATGTTTGACGATTATTTCATGAAAATGCTGATCGCGACCTCATCTCGCATGGGATACTCCCTCCAACATTTTGGGTGGTATCTCACAAATAAATGCTTCAATGTGGTCGTCCAATGCGTCAATTGAAACGGGCTCGTCTGTTCAGACACGAGGTTAAACATAGCCTCAAAAGAATGGAATGTGGCATAGTCAATTAACTTGAAATCGGATAAAGATATATACGTGAGCTATATCCAAATGTCGATAAAATTGGCAAAGATATTTCGGAGCTGTATTTTATATATTTCCCTGAATATCGTTGTTACGGAGTGTATATTATGGCTGTAGGGAACAAATATAACAAATCGGATGAACAATATATATGGCAGCTATAGCTATATCTGAAACAATTTTCACCAAAATTGACATACTGCTTCTAGACTCAATTCGTATTTGCCAAATTCCATCCCATTTAGGCTAAAATTACACGTTTGGGGCGCAATAAAAATTCCATACTATTTGGGCTGATATTACACGTTTGCTGCACAAAAAAGGCAAATCGGACGAAGATGTATGTGGGAGCTATATCTAAAATTTGATCGATTATCTCCAATTTCAATAGGCTTTGTCCTTGGGCCAAACAAATGATTTGTGCAAAATTTCATGCGACCTGTACTTTGTTTACAAAAATACATGGACAGACGGACAGACAGACAGACATACATAAATCGACTCAGAATGTGATTCCATGGGTCTACCTAGTTTCCTTTTGCATGTTACAAACACATGCACGAAGACACAATACCCTGACCACCTTGTGGTGTCATTAATTAGCCGTGCGATGATTCGCAGTCGATAGTCAGGAAAGATCTGTCTGTCCATAAAGTGAAGTATAAAAATCGATAAATTTATCGAAGACACCATAATTTTATACCACTTTACCAGAAATCTTATCTATATTAGCAAAATGAAATTATTCAATTTTCATGAAAATGCTTTATCCACAACATTGTAACACTCCCATCTTTTATCTTTATACAGATATTCACAAGACCAGATGAGCCAATAGCTTATGAAATTATTTCAAATATAGTCCATATATTTTTCTTTGTCTTATTTCTGAATAATTGTCTTTTGAATCGTAATTATTTCACAGAAACAAAAAATATGTAATGATTATTTTTGCCTCTTATCATAAATCCACTGGAATCTCAATAATGAGCAATGCTTAAAATCTCCTCAGAATGACTCATTCATGCTGAATGTTGGCACATCGCAGCTGTTGCCACAATTGTGAGAGACATTGGCAAGGGGGACGTATCAAACTGATGATATTGATATTACCCTATCCAGTGCAACCAACTGCCATTCAAATTTCAGGATTATAGCTTAAATATTCAAAATCGATTTCCACTTACGTTTGCATTCATTTGGAAAGTTGAAAGGCAATGGCGCAATCGAAAAGGGTCATTATGCAACAGATCAGTTAATTAGAGCTCTTGTGTTAAGTTGTCGCGCTCCATTCCACAGTAAGGGTCTTTCAGCTAAAGTGTTAATACTTACCATAAATGCCGCTAACGGGAATGACAATATTCACACGAAACGCTCGCGATAACGACAGCAGATGACAGTAATAATGATATTCGAGAGATTTTAATTAAAATGATGCATCCATCTATTGTTAATGACGAATACAATTCTCGTCTCCCTCTTTTTCTGGAAGATTTCCAAAAACTATTGCTGAAATGATAGAAGCAGAAAATATACAAACAAATGTTATTTATGTTGGCTTTATGGTTGTCGTATTCAAGTTAATAGCAATGCAAGGATATGTATGAATACTATTCAAGGATACCAATTTTTTCGTTTAGTTTATTTCATGGCTAGGGAGAACAAATTGCTGGATTCCGATACAGCAAATTGAAATTATAAATATGTATGTTGGAAGCCAAATAAAAACAAAATATTTATTATGCAGCAATTTAAAAGAGAGAGAGAGAGAGAGAGAGAGAAATAATATCATAACTTAAATATCCTTATTCGAATAAGGTATGTGGGTAACTATTTAAGAACTTGTGTTTCGTGCTTTTCTATATATAAATGACAGTCACTGTTTTGGAATAAATAATATCCAATGGAAAATTTACAAAAAAAAAAAAAAAAAAAAAAAAAAAAAAAAAAAAAAAAAAAAAACACAGATCAGAGTGGATGGAAGAAGGTTAAATTAAAATGATTCATAAAATAATCATTGTCACTCAAGATATAAAGAAGATAATTAAAAAAATTCCATGGGCTTTATAATTTTCATACAGCTCTTGATGGTCTTAATCTTAACTAAGGCTTCTCTTTTCCCAGGTTTCTCTATATACTATTTAGTATATGTCTGTTAGACCAAAGTCTACATGGAATACATCAAATGTATGGTTGAGTATTTTGGGGATTTCACTATGCTTTCAAGGAGAATTATACCCTAGTCAGGAGGGTCTAATACCCTCCACAAAAAAAAAAATAAAAAATAATAAATAAATAAAATTACCGCAAAACCTGCTGAAATAAAACAAATAAGCAAAGACTATTGTCAGGCATCCTACGATATGGTTCCTTACACCGCTTAAATGCAGTTTCACTAGATCTGTAAATATTTTTACTAGAGAGCACGAATCCTTGGTATATATAATTGGTCTACTTAAAACGTAATTGCAAATATCAACGTCTGCTCTCTATTGTGTATTAGGGCTTGTTTTATTTTTAAGAAGATCTTAATTCTTTTCAGAATTTGTTGCAAAATTTCCTTAGATTTCATATGTTAATTCTAATCTGTGCTTTTAATATTTACAAACTTCTGGCGTTAGGAAAGATCTAGAAATTTGACGTATTTTAAAATCTGCAGTAGAATTTTATAGCAAAAAAAAAAAAAAAACAATAGGTTACTTAGCAACTTCTGAACTCTCTGAAACGTATTATCTATTTAGCCCAGTGCTGTATGTAAATCTTTTGCTTTTGAAAACTTCATTAGTATGCAAAAATAAAAATCATGTCAATTGAAACGATTCCTATATAAACAGATTTATAAAAGCAATTTTCCCACGGAAACACTAAATTCGAAGAACATTTTCAAAAGAGTTGAAGTTAGCGCTTTATATTTATACCCTACAATACTATGTGTTGGGGGTATTATAAGTTTGATTGGGTCAAAAATTATGTAACACCTCCAAGTATTAGTTTCCCACATAGGAAAGTATATATGGATCTTCCTATCTCGCCGAGCTGAGTCGATCTTTCTATGTATGTCCGTCCGTCTGTCCATGTTAATTTGTAATCACGCTACAGGTCACAATTATGGCCCGATCTTCAGGAAATTACAAATGGAGGTGGGGTTAGGGTCAGAATAGAACCCTATTGTTTTTTGGAGATGATTGCAAAATATTTTGGGGTTGAAATGGACCAAAAACAGTAAATTTTCCTGATCTTGCAGTTGCTCTGTGGGCCACAATTATTAACCAAACGACGCGGGAATTTACATGGAGTTAGAGTTTAGGACTGGGCAGTAGCCTACCAATTTGGGCGGACATCGGACAATATTTAGCGGGTAAAATAGACCCTAACTTTTATGTAAGAAAATAGGAAAATTTCCATTAAACCGCGAATATTTTAAACCCCAGCAAATAACAAATACATTAAAAGGTCACTCCTGCCCATTAAAGCGATGCTGATAGCCAAGAAATCGGATATATAGCAAAATAGGAAAAATATATATATATAAAAGAAAGATATCTTATTTTTCCTGCTTTTATGTCAAGAACCGATGGTCCGATTTTCACCATTCCCTTCAATTCGGAATTGTATCTGGCCAGAAAAGGATAAAATCTGAGAAAGTCGCGGGAAAATATACCAATAAATGAGTGAATATCTTTAGTTCCATTTTTTTCAATGTATGTCATATTTTTATCGCATGCGATTTTTTCAATTTGACTTTGAATTGAAAATTTTCTAAATTTTTACACCCCTCAGCATATCAATACGCTTTGAGGGGCTCTATGGACCACAATTGAAAATTAATCGACACGAAATTTCGCATCAGAAGAGAGTTAAGGACAGGGAAGAAGTCGAGCTTTTTGGATGACTATTGGATTATATTTAACTATAAAACGGACCACAACTTTTGTGTGAAATTGTTTTGAATATAACACGACGGAGTACGTGAATATTGGCCAAATTCTTCCAAAATTTATTTGGATATAAGGAGACCTCGAACATATTGTAGTGTTGTAGGGTCGGCCTCGCACGACTTTGGCCTTTGCTTACTTATTTTTAATACTTTTGTAATAACTGGCGTTTTTCGACTGTGAGTACATTTCAATGAATTTCTTTAATCCCAAACACAAACAAGCAATTTACCAATTTAATCCAATTTTTCGTTTATTGGATCACAAACAACATCATCCACCAGACACTTTTCATACTTAAATCCCAATTGCCAAACTTAATTTCCTATTACAGTCCCTGCAACTATTATTCTTCTGTCTTGCCTAAGTCAACAACATCAATTGAAAATGTATTTACCTCAAAGCTTCTGAGGCAGATAATACAAGATGTTCTAGGTAAGACCTATTTAATCCTTTTGCTTGGCTGGTGTCATTAATCTGGCCTTTGATTTCCAAAAATGCCAATCTTGTCATTTTGGAGTAAATGGCCACCAGCCCGATATCGTTCGGGTTTAAGATGAAGTCATTGAAGAGACAATTCCTGAAATAGATTTAATGTGATTATTTTCCTATAGTGATGATGGTCATGTGTAGCAGGTAAAGATGGGATGGGAGATCGATTGACCCTTACTTAGGAAAAACAAATGGTAGCTGGGTTTTCAACTTTGGCAGGGAAGCGAAATATATTGTTTGAAATAGGTCAAATTATATGTATGTATGTCTATTGTCTATAATAAACAGGAAGATGGACGTAACTAAATCAAACATTATATTTAGAATATACATTTTCTGGAGTCTCAAAAATATTTTTTTTAAAAGCAGCTATATTCCGTATTTTGTTTATTTAATAGACATTTTTCAATGGATTTTTCTGGAGCTTGATGTATGAAGTTCTTAATAGGTATTTATGTTCTAAATAGGTATATATAACTCTATATAATGTTACCCCTTGATATATAATGTTACCCCTATAGTTTGATGAATTTAGTTAGATGTATCAATGGGTTTCTCAGTAATAATATACAGCATATTGGTTGGATTCTTGACACATTGTATGTTAGTCTTAAAATGCAATAATCATCTTGTAATAATGTATATATTTGGATTATGTTTTTTCAAATTTGCTATTTAAATGCATATTTTTTTAAACTAACAATTTTCCTCACATAAGTTGTAATCTTATAACCTTTATTTTTGAAAAAAAAAAAAAAAAACAAGTAAAAAAACATTAAGTTCGGCCGGGCCAAACTTTTAATACCCTCCACCTTAGGGTAAAAGAAACATTAGAAGAAATGTGGCAAAACCATTAAAATACCGATTATGGGGAGGTACCGTTATATGGGGGCTATACCAAAACGTGGACCTATAATTACAATGTTTCGCCACCGGAGCTGGAACCCATTATGACCCACAAATACCAATTTTTAGACAAATCAGTGAAAAAATGTGGCAAAAACCATCAAAATACCGAATATCGGGAGGTACCGTTATATGGGGGCTATATCAAATCATGGACCCATGCATGCAATGTTTCGCCACCGAAGCTGGAACCAATTATGACCAACAAATACCAATTTTCGAACAAATCCCTGAAAAAATGTGTCAAAAATCATCAAATTACCGAATATCGGAAGGTACCGTTATATGGGGGCTATACCAAAACGTGGACCTATAATTACAATGTTTCGCCACCGGAGCTGGAACCCATTATGACCCACAAATACCGATTTTCAGACAAATCCGTGAAAAAATGTGGTAAAAAAACTAAAATACTAAATATCGGGAGGTACCTTTATATGGGGGCTATACCACAACGTGGACCTATACATGCAATGTTTTGCCACACGCTCAGGGACCCGCTATGACCTACAAATACCAATTTTAAGACAAATCCGTGAACAAATGTGGCATAAATCATCAAAATACCGAATATCGGGAGGTACCGTTATATGGGGACTATACCAGAACGTGGACCGATATATCTCATTTTCAATACCAACCATCCTAGACACAATGCAAATAGCTCTGCTGAATTTTGGAGCTCTACGTCAAATAATGTGGGCTGTATCGTGATTTCAACAGACAGACAGACAGACGGACAGACAGACAGACAGACAGACAGACAGACAGACGGACATCGTTAAATCGACTTAGAATTTTATGCTGATTATGAATATATATACTTTATGGGGTCTAAAACGAATATTTAGGGATGTTACAAACAGAATGACAAAGTTAATATACCCTCCTTTCCAAGGTGGAGGGTATAAAAAAAAATTACCTCTTGGTATTCAACTACATTGGGTTTTGTTGGTTTTAGACTTTTTAAGCTTTCCTTGTTTTTTTTTTTTTTTTTTTCTTTTTTTGGTTATTTCTGTATTTTTTTAAAACAATTTCTCTAATGCTAAGTTGACATGGCACGTGATTCGCTTTATATTCGTTGTTATTATGAAATATCTACTTGATTCAAAATTTTCTGAGTGCACAAAGATGTTTGTTCTTTGTTCCATTCAAATCACTCTCAGAACTACGACGAAATGTGTGCAATCCCTAACAAATGAGATCATTTAACGAAAAAAGAAATTATGAAAATCATGAATTCCTATAAAAATCAACATACAAAAAATTTAAAAAAGAGGAATTATGTTACTATGAATTACGAATGCGTATGAACGGGTTAAATCGTGTACCTAATTCTGAGAGCGAATAACGTAATTGAAAGTGCAATGAGAACATAGCATAAAGCATTCACCATGAATGATGAATTAATGAAAATTTGTTTCCTACCTATGATATTCTATGCAGTTTCCGTATTTGTACGTTTTTTCTGTAGTTTGAAGGATTCGTTCACCTCATGATTGATGGTATAAGGAGTTCAGAATAACCAAACGCTCTTGTATGGGCCTTCAGTTGGTAACACAATAGAATATTTCTTAGGTACCCAACGGGTGCATTCGACATCGTCCATCTCTTGAAATCTTGAAAGAGGTCGCATTATTTAAGATAGAAGTTTTATTATGCTGTATTAGATGCAGACCCCCCCTTCCTTATAATGGTGCCTGTAGTTTTAAATTATTTTGAAGGTTTGAGAGCAAATTTCCAATCGAATCAGTATTTAAACGTTTCACAATCTCAGGCGATATAAATTCACTATTTGCACTATTTGCAGCACATCTTGATATTTGTCAGTTCACTTACCCTTGTCTCGATTTTCGTCCAAATGGACTGCAAATTTAGCATTTTGGGTTCTTGTCAGAAGGAAATTTGCCTACAAAAATGAAGATCCACATATTGATATAACCACCATACAGTTGTGTGGTCAATTTAGGATTGGAGTTATAATTACCATCTTTTTATGAACTAATATGATTTTCTTCGTATTTTTAATACGAATTCAAAAACAAAATAAACTATATTACAAAATTCACAATTCTAAACTGACAGTTAAATTGAAAAAATGGCATGCGATATAAAAAACTTCCAAAAATAAATAAATAAAAGTAAAGGAAGGTCAAAGCGGCCGATTTTATGACACCCTACACCCTTATTAAGTAGATATATAAATAAACGTTGGAAAACGAGGAGTAGATCCTATTAACTATGATCGTGTTTCAATGCATATTAGGACTTAAGAGCTGTTTAGAGTTGAACAAATATCCTACTGAGAAACGGTTTCCGCTAATTTAGATGGGGGCATATGTGACTGAACCGATTTTCCCAAAACACATCCTATCGGATGGATACGTGTCGTGAAATCGGACGAGATATATGGTGGAACTATCTGAACCGATCTCGATAAAATAAGGCAAAGGTATTTCTGAGCCTTAAAAGATATCTAGTATCAAATATCATTGCTTTTAAATTACATATTACGAATGTGAGGGATTTAAACACCAAATCGGATGAAACATATTTATGGGAGCTTTAGTTATATCTGAACCGATTTTCACCAAATTGCCTCTAGACTGAATTCGGTTGGAAGTGCCAAAATTCACTCCAGTTGGGCTGATATTAACCATCTGGTGCGCAATAAACGTGAAATCGGTCGAAGATATATATGTGGAAGCTACATTTAAATTTGGACCAATTCTCACCAGTTTCAATATTTCAATATTCTCACCAGTTTCAAATATTGTTTGCAAAACTTCATCTCATTCGGATAATAAACATGCCCTGCATTTTGTTCACAAAAATACATGGACAGACGGACGGACGGACGAACTGTCATGCAGAAGTCGACTTAGGAAGTGATTCTATGAGGATTCTCAAAAGTAACTATTGATCTTATTCGTTTCCTTCTCCATGTTACAAACAAGTGCACAAAGACATAATACCCTGACCACTATATGGTGTAGTGTATTAATATTTAATAAAATTTAACAAAAAAGTATTCAAATTTACGATGGAGTATCTTTTTTTTACTTTTCCATTCAAAAAGCCAAACTCGCTACTTTTCCGGAGGTTTTTTTTCAAAAATTTCTTTCGTAGAAACCTTATCACTGCAATTACAAGCAACCAAAAGAAAATGTAAGTCAAATCGGCCATTTGATATATATATAAGATACAAAAAAATAATTTCCGCCCATGAACCGATTTCAGGCCGTATTTGACATCTTGTACCAAAAATCGTTGTAATGGCGTAAAAAAAAAAATTTGACATTTTTTTGAGGCTAAATTCGGTAGTCTTTACAATTAACTTGAAATCGGACGAATATGTGTATAGCAGCTATATCCAAATCTGAACCAATTTGTCAGAGGTATTTCACTGCTGTATGTGATGACGTGCACAAATAATATTGTTATGAAGTGCAAACATTAAAACTGGTTCATTGATCTACGTATTTTATTCCCCACTGGTTTTTAATACTACACCCCCTACAAATCTTTCCTTTTTTTATATAGAAATCTTATATTATTAATTTCATTTATATCATTTATATGTATGTGACAATCGAATAGCACAAAATCCTTTCTCACAAGTAAATGTCATGCCTGAAAATGTATGCATGTGTATTAGTGCAAAAATATCTATGGCAACAACATGTATGCATAAATACAAGTCGTATTTGAAGAGTGCTCTGCTGTTCAACTCATTGTTAACAAATTAAATTTATCTCCATAATAATTCATTCGTTACCCATTTCCACACACTCATTATAATGACATTTCAATTTCTGGAGAAAAACCACCGAAACCATAACAAAGTAAAAAGAGATAAAACAACAGCAATGGCAAAAAGGGAGAATGCTTAGCCGTCATGTGTGTATATATGTACATATGTACGTAAGAATAAAAAATGTATAAGTATATATAGAGATAAAATAGAAAAAGTCGACATGCAATTTCTCCAACGTGAATGCAAGAAAACAATATGTATGTATGTATGTATGTATGTATGTATATGTATGAATGTATGTATGTGTACTGTCGACTACAGTGCGCCTGTACTACTATTTATTAATAAACACATTGGAGACAGCCAATTTGAAATGTTTGTTTTCTTTTCCAAACCACTGTTCAAACAACAAACCTAGCCGTTGAAAAATCAAATTAATCATGTGGCACGATTGTGTTAGAGAACGTGTATGTGATTGTTAAATAATACACGACAATGCAAGACAACGGGTAGGACTATATATAAATATTCATGTACATACACACATCATACTCCTTTCACCACCCACCCACCATCTAAAGTTCAAACATCCAAAAGAAATCGTTGATGTCGTAAGCAGAATATATGGAAAGCCACATTTTACATGTCTACAATGAAAATACTTGGCTAAAAGACATAAGTGCTTAACTCAGAGACGTGGGGCTTCACGTTAGCCGCATATCTGATAAAATTTAATAGTTTACCAGAATCATCTTGAAATGGAAGCGGAAGGAAATAATGTGGCATAAGGTGAAGAGAATAAAGTTTAGCATAGAATTTGTCTCTCTATGATGAGCTTTGATTGACGAATATTAGTCTATAATAGATAAAGCCACCGTTAATTTTAATTCTGGAATTAATTAACTTTAGAAAAGTTCTAATTGCAACAGGTTAATACGACTTATTAACTATCGTTATAATGATTTATTGTCAGCATAGGCAAGCAGTATTGTTAGGCTTAACTTGTTTCCTTGTAATGTACACGTAAAATTGTTTCTTTTTATATACAAAGGAACGCACATTTGGGGTTATGTGGTTGCATCACCCGCTTTAGAGCTCCGTAGTAATGTAAACAGGAAGAATGTGCAAAACATTCATTTTTGAAACCCCTAAATTGGAAGCTACTTTTCTGTGGGGGTAAATTAAGAGGTGAACTGATTGTGATTTTTTGTAAACAGTTTACATTAAAAAAAAAAAAAACATAGAATATAACCTGGACTGATTTTGATTTTTTTATAGAGTTGGCGAATAGTAAGTAAGTAAAATTGCAGTCATCTTAGAGAGTTACAAAATATACAAAAATATACAAGCTGAACCGGTCCACTTTGCTGGCACGCCGTTTTACTCTCAGTGCTTATTTTTATACCAACCACCATGCTACAACTTAACTTTGTCAATCCGTTAGATCCAACAAAGTATACATACTCTTGATCGGCGTAAAATTCTTAGTCGATTAAGCAATGTCCATCCGTGTGTCTGTCTGTTTTAATCACGCTATTTTTGAAGGAATTAAGATAGAAGTCTAATATTTTGCACACATGTGTCAATAAGCAAGTTCGTAAATCGACCAAGTTTTCGTATAGCATCCATATAACGCACCTCCCGGTATTTTGACAATTTAGATCACAGTTTTCAACAGAATTGTTTAAAATTATGTACATAGAGTTTGTAATAGGTTCCGCCTCTATGTATTCTGAATATAGAGTTTGTAATGGGTTCCGCCTACTATGACAGAATATTGTCAATATAGTTTCACGTTTTCGTATAACTCCCATGTTTCGGTTCCTCCCGATTTTCAGTATTCTGATTATTGTAGCCAAAATTTCCGCTGCAATCAGATCATTATTTCTTTTATCACTCATATTTGTAGTATTTCGAGCCAAAGTAACTGAATTTTAACATCTTACATCTTTTGGCAGGCCAATCTTAATGCTCCCCTCATACCATGGGAGTATGTTACTTATATACTCCACCTTGAATTCGTGATCATTATGAAATTCTAATTCGATTTAACGATGTCCATTTGCCTGTCTGTTGAATCACATCTTGGTATAGTCACCATATCACGGTACCTTCCCATGCTCGGTATTTTAATGATTTTCGCTTCGAATTCGTAGAAGAAAATGGTATTTGTGGTTCGTAATGGGTTCTAGCTTCGGTGGCAGAACATAATATATCTATGTACACGTTTTCCTATAGCGCACATATAACGGTGCCCACCGATATTATGTATCTTGATAATCCTAGTCATATTTACCCACGAAATTGTTTCAAATTTGGTTTTTAGACAATAGATAAGAATCCTTGTTGTATAAACTTGTCCATATAGGTTTCTGTTTCTCTTTTGTTTATTCAAACGGTCTTACTGATTATTATCCAGATTCTTTTACATAAAGATGTTTACTTAATCCCGTGGTGGGATTTTTCCACTCAGCTTGTTACTCCTCGATATATTCGCTGGGTACCCATAAGGTATTTATTATTATCAATCATTATGGAATATTTCCATTTAGTTTTTTTTTTTATAATCCAGCTGTGACCAGTTCTATGCTGTGCATAGTCCACCTGGGATATACTTAACAATTTATATCTGTATAATTATTAGTTTCGGGTTTTACTAGTGAGAAACTTCGTGCCACGTTTCACTGCATCACCACACGACGCTAAGATAAAATTAATTTATCAGATAGGATTGAATCCAATTGAGGATTGAATATATAAAAAATATCCGCCATAAACTGTACAGGGGTAATAAACACTAAGCCCGGTCTCCATAGTATATGTGGTAAGCTATTGAACGCTAGCGCGGTTTGCGAATTTTAGTGAATGAATATTTAGATTTGCAAGAATGCAGCTGTCAAGGCCAAAGGCGAGTGCTTTCATCTCAACTAATAATAAAAGTGCTTCAGCCTCTTCAATTTCCGATCTGAATTTCCCCACCCACAAATCGTATCTTAAAGCGTACGGCCCAGCCACGACCTTACATAACGCACAGTTTTACTACCCTTAATTGCACAATAATAATGACAAATTACTCTTTTTCATTACTTTTTATTTTTTTTTTTATAAAGAAAACCTTCGGAAAATTCAACTAAATTTAACCCGCCCTCTATTTTTTCTTCAACGTTAAAAAATATCATCCTTTGTCTAGAAACAAGTAAAGTTAAATATAAAACTGCATACGTGTGTGGTTAGCGGTGTGTGTGTGTGTGTAGCTGAATATGTTTACATATGTGTTTGTATAATTGCTCATAAGTACCCCTACTTGTTCCAGTTAAAAAGCCCCACTTGTCTATACC